TGGGATTACCATTTTGGAAAGCAACATTTTGGGTCCCTGAATTTTAAAGTCTAGCTGAAAGAGCAACTGAAGGCCCTTATGAAATAACTACATAGTTACCCACATTTAACTTTTGGGGAAACTAAGGCTGAAGGAGGTTTGGTCGCTTACCCATAGATCCCTGGGGAGCACTTCACTCAATCCTGACTGAGGTAATTCTACTGCTAGAAATTATTCAACCATAGTTCCAAAGAAATATTTAAAATATTAATTACCATGTTCTGTTTTAGTTTCTATTATATAATGTACTTTATTTGGAGTTTTATAAACTTTGGTTTTATTCCTTATGATAGTTGTAGGTACTTTAAAAGCCTAATTTTTCAGTTGAAATGGAAAGAATTTCCTAGTTTCCCCCAGGTGGGAAGAATTTATTACAGTACAGAACTGATTGAATCTAGGGGGGACTCCCTATCTTCTCTACTCCTCCCTTAGCCTCTTCCCCTCCCTTGCAGCCTCCGCCCCCACTCATTTATACAGGGCAGTTGGGCCCCTGCTAGGCTTGACCCCAGGAAGACTAGAAGGACATCTGGGAAACTGTGGTTGAGGCCATGTCTCTGCAGCTGTCACAAATATCTGGACCCCCCTCTTTCCCTGAACTCATTCTTTAAGTTGGCTGAGTCCCCCTGAAAGCTGTGCTAGAAGCACACAATGTGAGGCTCAGACTGCAGCTGTTTCAGCTTCACCGAGAAGGGTCCTTGGGGCAGGTTTATGGCTGATCTCCAAGAGGTGAAGAGAAGACAAAAGTTGTGCCTTAGTAGTAACCAGCCTTCTACTGGTCCCAGAATGATCTCAGACTGGCCCTGGGAGCAGTGATAACCACAGCTCACACCCTGCCATGAAAGTAGCAGCTGCAACAAGGGGCCCCAGGCCAGGGACCACAGAACAGTCTTAGAGGACTCATTTACTACCAACCCACTTGAAATTTAGCCACACAGGTTGAGAAACTGAAGGTGTGAGGGACCTTGTGTGTGACCGTATCACTTTCTTTACAGGATCCTTGAAGGAAGCCAACCCCAACCTGGGAGAGCTGAGAGTCTATACCTTGCTATCTCTTCGATTCCACCTTACCTGGCCAGTGAATTTGGTGGTCCCATTTAAGGGAAGCATGGTCCCCTGGAGAAGGACAGCACTGGGACCTGGTAGAGTTGCAAGGAGTGTGGAGAAGGGTTCTGGTCCAGGCCTAGCTAAGTGAAGTTAGGCACAGAGGCTACAAGCTATAGGTATTCCATACCACTTCTTGTCCTGCTGTCGTAGGGGGATTCAGGCAGAGATACTGTGCCTGACTTTGGGTAGGTACGTGACCCTTGAAGAGACTGGAGGGATGTGAGGAAAAGCACAATTCAAAGCTGATGCTTGCCAATAAAGTTGATCCTGGGTGTGGCTAGAAAGAGGGATTGAAGCTGGAGGGGGAGAGACTCAGTTTCTGGGACACAGCCCTGACTTGCCACTGCTTCCTACATAACATTTAAATTTGCTTTAGCAGCAGACTTTGTAAAAACTTACTTACATGTCTTTTAAAGGCCCCTCACACCTAGCTCCTCTTCAGCATGGTCCAAGATATCTGGCCCCACAGGCCTCTGAAGTGATTGACATTCCCAAATGGATGACCTTTTTTATGTGTGGTCTGCTACTGCCTAAGAAATGGGTTTGACCTAGAAAGTAGTGATAATATTAATAGCAAATCAATCTTGCTCATTTGTGCTGTACTTTACAGTTTACAAAATAGTTTTGGTATATATTATTGCACTGTCAGTAATTTCCCCATATGCAACATGATGATAATAACACTGTCAGTAATCCTCATACCACTGTAGTGGGATGGGAAATTGGAGTGGAAGGGATTAATAGAGGAGCTGTCTCACAAATGCTCAAGGTTCAGAGAGGTGTCTTATCCTGTTCAGGGTACCTGATATGGCTTGGAAATCAGAACTGCTGTCCATGCTCTTTCCATAATCAGCTGTAGATGTCTGTGGCAGGGAAAGAAATAATGTAAAGGGCAGTGTACTGGTTCCTACCCTAACAGAGCATTGGATAACGAACAAAACAGGGCTCAAAGGAACTGCCCACAATCCAGGGCACCAATACTCTGGAAAGCATCCCTCTTTGATAAAGAATTTGCCTAATTTCTCTGTTCCTGAGAACTCCAGCTGCAAACCCAGTAGGACAATTCAGCCTTCAAGTGACTAGGATCTCTAGGTACATGAGATTTTTCACTTGAACCTTAAGTCCTGTTATCCAGTCACATTGACTAGTCTTAACATTCTCTCCCCCTACATCACTATCATTCCATTCACTCCTGTCTAACAAGGTTTCAGTTGAGTACCTTCTTTTCACAGCAGCTTTTGTGAAACCAAAGGGTGTCTTTCTGACTTCTTAATTTATCCTGGGGTATGACAACTAGGTATGATGAATGATACTCAGCTTAAGTAATAATGGAGGTGGCTTAGAGAGAGCTATAAGGCCTGCATCATGTTGTGACACATTGACACACATCATGTATTTTCACATTGTTAACTATAGAACTCCTGCTGTTAGTCTAGGTCTTCCCCGAAAGCAAAGACTGTATATTGCTCCATCTTGTTCTGCCGTGTAATGCTGAGATCAGTGACTGTCATTTACCCAATGGACAGAAGAACTTCATTTTATGAATTCCACAAAGGAGAATATAGTTACAAACAATTTTCCCTAATGCCACCTAGCTTCCCCATACCCAATACAATAATAACAACACTGTCAGTAATTTCAGGACTGAAGTAAAAAGATATCTGCTTTGGATTGTTGGAGATTTAGATAGATGATATGGTCCCTATTGCCTCCAGATCCCAGGACAGTGGTTATGTTTATATGTATGATTGTATATTTAGGGGCTGGCACTCTCCATTGTGGGGATATAGTTACAGGAATGTGTCATGTAAAAATATGTCATATGGGCTCTCCCTGGTGGTGCAACAGGTTAAAGCACTACATTATGAAGCTCTCTGAAGCTATTGCAGCACGAGTTCAATCCCTGGCCAGGGAGCTGACCCACATGGAGTGGCAGACCTCTCCTGACCTGCCCCGCTGCTCCCCTCAGCAGTGTATTTCAGTCAATCCACATGTTCTGCTCCCTATTCTGTCTAGTGAATCTCACCGCCCCTGCACCTCTGGCCTGTACCCCAGTTCTGTAAATCTTTAAAAATATATATGTTACATATAAAGCTCTAACCTGCACAGATTTCTGCAGATGAGATTTTGTTCCTTTTTATTTTCTGGATAATCAGCCATTATTTTGTTTCAAGTTTAATATTCAGTTCAGCAGAGTGCTCTTGATGGAATCACACTAATGATCCAAGTATTAAGCCAAGCAAAACACAAATTACAAAATTAATATTTGCAAGAACCAGGCACTTCAGGAGGTTTCCTGTAATGAGGTCAGAGGTGAGACTAGCTGCAAGCTTCTCTCCACCCCAGTGCTAGTCTATATGCTCCCACTGCAGTTGAATTTGTGGGTTTTTTTTTTAAAGATTTATTTATTTGTGCATACAGAACTGGGGTACAGGCACAGGCTCAGGGGCAGCGAGAGGCTTCACCAGAGGCAGAGTGGGGAGCAGAACAGGCAGATCGGTGAAGTACACTGCTGAGGGGAGCAGCGGGCGGGCCGGGAGAGATCTGCCATGCCATGTAGTCACCTACGGGGCAGGCGGGAATCGAACTCATGCTGAAATGGCTTTAGCTTCTTAGTGCTGTGCTTTAACCCACTGCAGTGCTGTGCTTTAACCCACTGCGCCACCAGGGAGGTCCGAATTTGTGAGTTTTAACTGACAACCAATCACAGAGCTGATAAATTGACCAGCTGTTATCAAGACAACAAAGAGTGTTCTAATGTGCATGCGCTCTCTCTTTCTCTCTGTCTCTGTCTCTGTCTCTCTCTCTCTTTCTCACTCTCGCTCTCTCACACTCAGCAGCTGTTCTGCCTTCCTTCCTCATCTGCTGGTGGCTACTCTAGAAAAAGGGGATACAGTGGGGAGGGATTTCCCATTGTAGGGTCACTGAGCCACTTATCTACCAGTTGCTGTCACTGGAATGAATACATCAGGCCTGGGAGGGAGGTGAAGGATGAATATAGCCAGAATAATGAGGGGAATGGAGAATAGTATCCATCATGGTACTAACGTGGAACTTGGGGGGGGGGGGTTCCAGTTGCTGAGGGTTATATTAAAATCTCTTCCTAGAGGTTGATAGAGATTTATGACCTAGACCTATCCCTCAAATAACCTTAAGAGGGGGGAGGTATTGCAAAGCCTCCTGGAATAAAGACACTGGAGCACAGAGGGTACATTCCCTGCTGCTACCATCCCTATATAGCAGATACTGGATTGTAGCTCTACAGTACAAGTACAGTACAGTAAGGCTCCTCTTCTGGGCTTCTAAAGGTTCCAGCTTGATCCTGTAGGCAATTTAGGGAGCCGGCGAGGAGCAGGTAAAACTTCAGGTGTACGTTTCTTCCCAGCTACAAACAAAATATCAGTGAATGCTCAGGCTGATGTGAAATGGTGACCTAGACCCTGCAGAGGCCAGTGAGGACTTACTAAACTGTTTCGTCTAAGGCTTTTCAAAAAGTCTGTAACATTAGAGCTTACCTCCCTTCTGCCTTTCCTTCCTCTCTCTGCCCTGTTACCTTTGATAATCCCCTTGCTAGCCAATAGTACTTCTGGGCCTCTCTAACATTGTGATTTTCCCAACCTGCTGCTCTCCTAAAGTTAGAATGGCCTGAAGTATAGGGTTTCACTGCTTTGTGACCCAGAGCAGCCTGGTCCATCAAGGCTCCAAGCATAGGAATTGCTTTAAAGTCTCCCTACATTCCCCCCCTTTCTCCCTGGTCCCACAGAGGGCTAAAAGTCACAGACCCTTGTGTGTGTGTGTGAAATGGAGACTTGCTCACCAGCACTGTCTCTGTTTTTGTCTCTTTCTCCCATCTCCAGATCCAATGGAAATGCTTCCTAACTGATGATGTGATAACAGTGCCTGGAAGCCAAAGGCTGAATTTTCAACTGAAAATACCTGAGTTGTCCCCATCACCATGGAGACTCAAAGGGATGAAACTTCTCAGGCCAAGGGAGCTTCTGGAGACACCCAGGACCAAGGAGCAGAGAAAAGAGCCAAGAACAAGGCAGCTGAGCTTATAGAAGGACCAACATCAGAGCTACCCATATCTGGCCCAGGTAGGCTGAAGAAGACTGCCATGAAACTCTTTGGTGGCAAGAAAGGCATCTGCACCCTGCCGAGTTTCTTTGGAGGGGGACGAAGCAAAGGTTCTGGAAAAAGCACCTCTAAGAAGGGGCTTAGCAAGAGCAAGACCCATGATGGTCTGAGTGAAGCAATCCGTGGCTCTGATGACATTGTCAATGAGGGAACTAGCCTTTCTTTACCTTTGCCTGAATCACCCTGCCGGCTTTCCAGCTCCCATAGTGCTCATGGGGATTTGGAGACAGGCTCCAGGTGTAAGACATCTATATCTGGAGCCATAGAGAAAGTGGGGACTGAGAAGCCTCCCTGTGTGCCCAAACCAAAGAAAGGTCTGAAAGGGTTTTTTAGTAGTATCCGTCGTCACCGAAAGAGCAGGGTCTCTAGGGCTGAACAAAGTGAGCCAGGGGACAAGAGGCCTGAAGAAACCAGAGCCAGGCTTCATGAACTTGTGAGCTCAGCCCTTATACCCCATGCTGAGGAGACCCTTACATTCACAAGAAAGGAAAATGTCAAATCTCAGAATGCTCCTGTGCCAAAAATTCCTTTAGCACCAGAACCTTCTCCACTAATTACTGAGAAGACAGCCTATAAAGATCCAAAAAAATCTATGGAGACTTGTGCCTCAGCATTTTTGCAGCCTAAGCCTGACCCTAATTCCAGTAGCCTAGAGGGACTCCATAGCTCAGCAACAGGGGAAAAGGTAATAGCTGAAGAGGCAATTCTGCCTAATGGCCCTGTGGGGGACCAGCTGAGCCTCCTTTTTGGGGATGTCACATCCTTGAAAAGCTTTGATTCTCTGACAGGTTGTGGTGACATCATAGCTGAGCAGGATATGGACAGTATGACAGATAGCATGGCATCTGGAGGACAGAGAGCCAACCGAGATGGTACTAAGCGAAGTTCCTGCCTGGTGACTTACCAAGGAGGTGGGGAGGAAATGGCCTTGCCAGATGATGATGATGAAGAAGATGAAGAAGAGGAGGTAGAAGAGGAAGAGGAAGTCAAAGAGGAAGAAGACGATGACTTAGAATATTTGTGGGCAAGTTCCCAGATGTACCCAAGACCCAATCTGAACCTGGGCTACCATCCTACCACATCTCCAGGCCGCCATGGCTACGTGCTCCTTGACCCAGTTCAGTCTTACTCTGGTTTAGCCCCTGGGGACCTTTTGACTCCTCAGAGTGACCAGCAAGAATCTGCTCCCAATAGTGATGAGGGCTATTATGATTCTACCACACCTGGATTTGAAGATGATTCTGGTGAGACCCTGGGACTTGTCCACAGGGATTGCCTACCCCGAGATAGCTACAGTGGAGATGCCCTCTATGAGTTCTATGAACCTGATGATAGTCTTGAAAACTCTCCACCTGGGGATGACTGCCTTTATGACCTCCATGGTCACAGCTCTGAGAGATTTGACCCTTTTTTGAACTTTGAGTCCTTTCCTTCCTCTCGGCCACCTGGGGCAATGGAGACAGAGGAGGAACGGCTAGTGACTATTCAGAAACAGTTGCTGTATTGGGAGCTTAGGCGGGAGCAGCTTGAGGCCCAAGAAGCAAGGGAAACTCGTGCACGAGAGGCTCATGCCAGACAGGCCTATACCCAAGAAGAGCATGCCAGGGAGCACTATACCCGAGAAGCCCACACCCGGGAAGCATATGTCAGAGAGATCCGAGCCCGTGAGGCCTGTACCAGAGAGGCTTGTGCTAGGGAGGCTAAGGCCCGAGAGACTCAAATCCAAGAGGTCCAAGCCCAACAGGAAAAACCTATCATGGATTATCAAATAAGGCCCTTAGGCCCATCAGTGATTAGTCTGGTGGCTGAGGCGTCAGGGACCTCTCAGACTACTCCCCGGGGAACCACCTCAGCTTTTCCTACCACAGGGAGCAGTGAGCCAGACTGGAGGGATTTCCGTCCTCTAGAGAAGCGTTTTGAGGGAAACTGCTCCAAGAAAGATCAGAGTACCTGTCTGATGCAGCTCTTCCAGAGTGATGCTATGTTTGAGCCAGATGTGCAAGAAGCGAATTTTGGAGGGTCTCCTAGGAGGGCCTACCCAACTTATTCACCCCTAGAGGAGCCAGAGGAAGAGGAGGTTGAGAAGGAAGGGAATGCCACAGTGAGTTTCTCTCAGGCCCTTGTGGAATTCACCAGCAATGGGAACCTTTTTTCCAGTATGTCCTGCAGTTCTGACTCTGACTCTTCCTTTACTCAAAACCTCCCTGAATTGCCCCCCATGGTGACCTTTGACATTGCTGATGTAGAACGAGATGGGGAAGGCAAGTGTGAAGAGAATCCTGAGTTTCACAATGATGAAGACCTTGCAGCCTCCTTGGAAGCTTTTGAGCTGGGATACTACCAGAAACATGCCCTCAACAACTACCACAGCCGTTTCTACCAAGGCTTGACATGGGGTGTGAGCAGTCTCCCTCGATATTTAGGACTGCCTGGCATGCATCCTCGACCTCCACCTGCTGCCATGGCCCTCAACAGGAGGAGCCGCTCACTAGACACTGCAGAGACTCTGGAACTGGAGCTCTCCAATTCCCACCTGGCCCAGGGCTACATGGAGTCAGATGACCTACAGGCTCAGCAAGAAGATACAGAGGCAGAAGAAGAAGAGGAAGAATGGGGCCGAGATAGCCCCCTGTCCCTTTATACTGAACCCCCAGGGGCCTATGACTGGCCTGCCTGGGCGCCCTGTTCTCTCTCAGTGGGGCCAGACCCTGCCTGGATAAATCCCAGCCAGTTGGATGGGCCTTCTAGGCAATCTTCATATGGGCAAACAGCCTGTTGTATACCTCCTGTGGCCGTGCCGATGTTGCTGCCAGTACCAAGGCCAGAGCCAAGGGTACTTAGGCAATCTGGGCCTCAGCTTACTCGGCCTTCACACCTACCGCTGCCCATGGGCCCTTGTTATAACACCCAAACACAGGCCTACCAGAGTGTAAGGGCCAGGCCTCGAGATAAGCTACTGCTGCCTGTTGATGAGCCCAGTTGCTCCTCTCGTTCTGGAGGCTTCAGTCCCAGCCCTCTGTCTCAGGCCAAGCCTGTGGGCATCACCCATGGTATTCCTCAGCTTCCCAGGATTCGGCCTGGGCCCCCACAGGCTCAGTCCATTTGTTATGGGGCATCCAGCTTTGACCTGTCAAAGGAGAGGGCCGAGCAAGTTGTCTCTCTCCCCACCAGCTACTCCTCCACTGCCATGAATGGAAACGTAGCCAAGTAGTCATCGGTACTGGAGTGGGGGGGGGGGAGCAAGGGGCCTGAGCATGTGAATGGGGAGATCAGGGGTTGGACAGAACGGGTGGGGGTGGGAGTTGCTGTTAACTTGAAAATGCTTTTGGCCAAGGAAAGTTCCTATGAGTTTTTACTTTTGTTTTCCAACTTTCCTCTTCTGCCAACTTTCCTCTTCTGCCACATTTCCTCTGTGGCCACATTCAGCTCAAGTACATCTGACCTGGGAGGCTGCTGCTGCTGTACCCTGATTTTTGCTTTCAGGGTTTCCTGTAACCCATGCAAAGTTTTGGGTACTGTAATGTTGTGCCTATTCAGGTTGCCAAATTAGTGATCACACACACATACACATGCATAAATACACACGCATACATACACACATACATACGTATATACATACATATATATATATTCATATATCACATAGCATGCATCCTTGACACAGGCTGAACCCATAGTGCCCCACACCTCCAAGTAATACCCCTTCCCCACAAATGAACGATGAACCACTGATGAGAAGCCAAGTCTGCACTATCTCCCACTCACACATAGAGGGACTATTTCTTTTAGTAATATGAAATCATGGTACAAATCCTCCCCGATCCTACTCTGATCCTCCATTTGGTCTTGCCATAGCATCATTGGGTTATAATCTACTCAGCTAACTGTTCTTAGAATCACATAGCATGTGCTATTTATTGCCTATTGCTGTGGACTTCGACATCATAGCCAGGTCAGGGCCTTTTAACCTGGCCTGCCATAGCTTGGGTTGAAGACAAAATGCAGATCCCCTTTATAGAGTGATCAAACTCATCCAGCTGCAAGCAAGACAAAAATTGGTTTCTGTCATAGACACTGCCTTAGTTTTAATCTCTGGAATTACAGTATTTTTTTCCCTTCTTTCCACATTGTGACTTGCCTGAGTTACAGATGTTTTTGAATTTGAGTTCATTTTTTCTCCAAGAAGTTTTCATAATCTCATCACAAGGACCACATTCTATTAATTGAAATACAGAAAGAGAAATAGCCAAAATTAGGGGTTGGCTGTAGGAATTGAGGCTTTTACAAGTTTCAGGGGAAGGATGGAAAAAGGAGTTCCATTTATCCCATTTAACAGGAGAGGATTTCATAACTCCAGGAAATCCAGCTTCTTGGAGAAAACTACTTCCCTCTGCCCCTGGGTATGAGGAGAATATGTTTTCCCTGGAGGTGTTGGTCTAAATTTTAACCCTTTCCTTGCTAATCACCATCACCATGGATGTTAAGAGAAGAGGTTTGCAGGGTTCTTGCATTCCTGAGAAACAGCAAGTTAATTTTGGGAAGACATACCATTTGCCCTCCCAAGTGAAGGTGACTGTGGAAAAACTGTCCCTTTACCAAGAGATGTGCTGGTCTGAGTCACCGTTTCCCACATTATAACTGGACCAGTTAACATTACCAAAACAAGCAATCGGGTTGGTATCTACATCTGTGAAAGCACTACATGAGTTTGCATGGTACCAACACCACTGCTCAAGGAGCCCTGAACAGATCCCAGGCAGACATTTTCTACATTATGAACAAGTCCATTTTGGTGAGTAGAAGGCATTCCTTACCCCAAGCACAGCATCCCAGGAGAGAAGCATCTCCAAAATGTTGGACTTATCATCAAAGCTGTCCTGGGAAGGTCAGGCTGTTTGGCAGGAAGTTAATACTCACCAAATGCCTTTACAATATGGGAATACCCACCACTGCCTACATTTATGCTTGCCTATAAGGGCAGCTCAGACTTCCTGTCGACATGCCTGCATAGCTGTGGCAGATAGTTATCACCAGCCTCCAGAGCCCTCTGAGCCACCAGTCTATGTGGAAAGAAGAAAAATGTATGGTTAGCCTTTGGTCAAAAGCTGAGAGCTACTTAAGGAAAAGAGGGCACCAAAAGGTAACGCTTCCTTGAGGAGCAATCATAGCCTTATATTTTGAGGGACTTTTGAAGGTCACATACCATAGAGTAAAGTCTTAAGATTGAGCAGCAATTCCTGGTTTGGACAACACTGGCCAGCCCAGGGACAGGATGTGAACCATTAGAAATGGTGCAGTCAGAATGCATGGCTGCAGAAACAGACCCCTTTGAGTCTCACTCTAGATCTAAGCAGTTCATAGCTAAATACCAGCTGCTGCCTAGAAGAAGAAGGCGGCCTACCTGGAGACATGTGGTGAAGGCAGCACAGGGTGACACTGGGAGAGCCAACCAATTTCCAGTCTTCTCCCCAACTGTAGGCCAATTGCTTGACTTGCACCAGATCACCAAAGTGTTCAAAGATATTGGGTGTGACCAGATGAGTGTATGGCTCCATTGTGAGGTCCTGAGACAATGACTCTGGGTATGGCTTCAAGGGGAGATACAACTTGAGTGGAGGTGGCTTCCTTATGGTGCTATCAAACAAGTATATCTAGTGCCAGATAGCTCTGTTTTTTAACATTTCTTGAATAGACAAGTCATTAGGAGACCAGCAGCTGGATAGAGAAGGCCTTTCTCCCACGGCTGTCAGTTTCTTGGTGCTTTTATACCTTCAAGGGGACCCAAGCAGAGCCACTTAAGGTCTGCTTTAGCTTGGGCACCATTCACTAGCATCCTGGGCCAAAGGTAAGATGACTTCCTCAGTGCTGTACCAAGGAGGGGAATAGCTTTCTCCAAAGTTGTGCCTCATCCTCCTGTCAGCAATTTTCCGACCTTTGCCAGTGCCACCAACCCACCTGCCCTTGGTCCCTGGGCCCAGTTGTTAAAGGGAGGCATGGGTGGTTTAGCAGGGAGAATTTAAGTTTACCCATGTATATGTTGCATCCATGTTGCTTTATATATATATATATATACACACATACATACATATACATATATACATACATACATATACATATATACACACATACATACATATATATCAAAGTCAATTATCTATTTTTGTATTGTTTGCATTTTATATTCATGAAAATGTATCAATTGTTCTTTTCTGATATATTTTATTTTTAAGCGGTGCTGTTTACAGTTTTAAACAACAAAAAAAGTCACAAAAATTGCTGCTGCTTGTGCAGAGGGCTGGCATCTCAATTGCCCAGTGCCCTCCCTCTTCCCCTCACCCCACCCATGATGTATTATAGTGTCCATACCCTCCCTCCATGATAAGACAGCAAATTATGCCCAGGTACTAAAAACAAATGCAGATTACTCAGACATGGAACATGGTAGGTAGTGTGTCATTTATGGTTTCATTTTTTATTCTTTTGAACTCTACCCCTACTATATCCACCCACCCACCCACACATGCACACACACACACATACACACACTTTTCTTTGAAAACTGAGTGCCCATATTGTGCTGTTTGTCATGTTGAGTTTCTCCAAAAGAACATTTTGGGAACATTCTTTAACCAGTGGCGAGTGCAAGTGTTTTCAACTGTGCCCCTTCTCCCCAAGAAACTGGAGGAGACAGATGACGGTGATTTTTGAATCATCAGAAATTGGCCATCTCATTGAGGAAATCCTTGCAGGTGACTTTCCAAGAACTCAGTTGATTGTGACACTTGCCTAGAAGAGACATTGGGAAACTTCCTGACCCCTTTTGCTGCTTTGGTGAAATCTCTACCCCTGCCACCATTCTCTCTCTAGCTGTGCTCCAGCTCACACAGGGATTGTACTTTGGGGAACAGTAACTGTCAGGGTGATGGTTTGCTGGCCTGCTCACAATTTTCCAACTTATAATAATTCCAAAGAAGAAAATCCATGTGGCATGTATATGTGTGAGGGTTGGGGCTTTATTACTATTGTTGTTGTTGTTGTTGTTATTATTGGTGCTTATTTTCCCTGCATTATAATAGGGGTGGGTGGGGGTGGGGTGAAGAAGCCAGGAATGTATATTTAGGTCATGTTAAATAAAATGACTGGGGGACAGAGGGACTAAGTTAGGCACTGCAATACATCCCCACCTTAGTTGTAAGAGTTCTTTCCTCGTGCAGAAAGGGAAGAGCATGGCCCCTGGCTGTGCCCTAACTTCTCCTTCCCCATCACTGAGACAGAATTGTCTGGATTGTGACTTCTCCAATACTAGCTCTCACTAATATCTGGATATCTCAATGCACTGCCTGTTTGTAACAGCATATATTTATTTTGCTGAATGTTAATAAACTGGGTTCAAGTGGGACCCCCACAGTCACTAAAGTGCATTTTTGTGGTCTGTTCCACAGCAACATGTCTATAATTCATGGTGTTTTTGTAGAAAGCAAGAAGATGGACAGGAGATACCCAGCAGGAGAAATAAAAGCCAAAGCTATAACTAGATGTAGAGAAAACTTGTTCATCCAATTCATACCTGCATCCCAGTTGTAAACTCTCTAGTTACATTTTCCACACTGAGAGTTGTCAGTGCCGGCTAACATTTCTTAATTAGCCTCAGTTCATATAAGTGTGCTGACCTCCCCATTAGCTCAGAAGAGGTGAAGCGTTCCAATTAATGGCTTTATCAAAAGGATGTAGCTAGTGGTAGGACTTTAAGGTCAGCCTGCAAGAATGGCATCCTTGCAGAGGCTTATGTACAGAGATACTGACTGCGCAGCTGCCTGACCCATCTTTTCAGCTGTAGGACTGAGTAGGGAGCATGTGAATTTTGCCTATTACATAGGGAAGTACTATTTGTTGTATACCGCAAGAATGGCCCAGTCACTTTGGGAACATGTCCTGCTAACCAGGCTGCCCTAATCTAGGTAAGAATCTCCTGGCCCCATCTCTGCCATCAACCAGGCAAAGAGAAATGTATTTCTAGCTCTAGTTTCTCTAATCCAACCATTGCCCACTCCTGGCAAGTAGTGACTCCTGATGGTGGGTTTCCTTGAATTCTGCCCAGCTGGCATTTTCAGATCAAAATGCTTGAAATGGCAGCTACTATAAAGTGCTGTGGAAATGCAGGTCTCCTTGGGGCCTCTTCCCAGATTAGTAAAGAAGCTTGATGATACCCATGACCTAATGAATCAAGGAAAGCTGAATTGTC